TCTAAGTCAAATCCTGAATGGATTTTGGTCCCGTGGGGCCCTCTTTTGTCACAACTGAAATACATATTGAACAAATAAAAGGAAATTACATCACAAATGTGAGAACTAAGGGTGCGTCTCAATCAGCTTGAGTAGTCAATATACTGATCATGGAGTTCTAAGGGCTGTCTCAAATGTTTTCTCCCTAAAAAGTCCCACAATGCACTGATGCTGCTCACTATGCTCATTGATACTCACTATGTTCTCTTAAAGGGGTCATAGGATGCTACATGCACTTTTACAAGTTGTTTGAACTGAAATGTGTGTTGGCAGTGTGTACACAACCACCCTATAATCCACCCAGTGTTTTTTTTTTTATCTGGTTAAATGTTTTCCCCTTTCTCAAATCGAGCTGATCTCAGATGCCTGTCTGTGTGACGTCACACAGACAGGCCCCTCCCACGATAGTTTGATTGACAGTAGTGTTTCAGCACAGACTGAACTGGTGTCTTACCTCAGACCCGCCCTGAGTGAGCTGTCATCAGTCCGCCATTGTTTCACCGCCGGAGCAGTTGTAGACAAGAATGACTCCTAAGCGATTGAGGTCTTCTGTTGTTGGATGTAATAATGAACATAGCAGTCGTCATTTACTCCAGACATCTGAGCCGCTGAAGACACAGTGGAATACATTGTTTCTGATTACATTGTTATTTACTCCTTTAAACCTTGATGTTGTTCCAAACCTGTATGAATTTCTTTCCTCTGTTAAACACAAAAGAAGATATGTTGAAGAATGTTGGTAACACAGTTGCTGGTGGCCTTTTATAGTATTTTTGTCCATACTATGGAAGTCAGTGGCTACAACTGTTTGGCTCTCCACATTCTTCAAAATATCTTCAACAGAAGAATATTTTGTGTTCAGCCGAAGAAAAAAAAACTCATACAGGCTTGGAATAACTTGAGGGTGAGTAAATAACAGAATTTTCATTTTTGGGTGAATTATTGCTTTAAGTAAATGTCATGGATCGTAACGACTAAACAAATGAGCAATTTGTTTATACTAAATAATATTCAACATCCCCAAGTCCACATTCCTGTACTCTGAAACTTCCATCAAAAATCACACACAGTGTATCCACCTGGAATTCCATGGCCAATCTATTTGGGATACTCCAGTATATGGGATGGGTTCCGAGATTCCCATATCTACCAGTTCATGCCCTTTCCAAACACACAAAGAATCATACACCTACGATTCCTCCCAATACTTACGCTGCTCCTCTGCTGGGTTAGTAATATGTACCCATCCGACATGGGACAGGATTAATGTAGAGGGGCAAGCGAAAAGTTACGGTCACAGACAAGGACAATAACACACATTGACCAAAACAGTAAAATCCTTTTCGCATCTTCATGTGTTTTCTGAGTGTTACTTGCATAATTCACTAAACTGAGTAGGAGAAATAGTTACAGAAACGCAATCCCCATCCACCATTGGTCAGCCAAAGCACCCTAAACTCACACCATCAACCTACAAATGACTTACTTTCTCCTGTCCAGCTTGATAATATGCAGAGACAAAAGTAATAAGATCTAATACATTGCATGTTTAACAGAGTATTAGACTCAGTGGTCTTTTACATGGGTGTGAAATCATTAATCAGTATGTCTGTCCTCTCTGAATACGTGGCCTTTCCTGCTGCCTCGAAATGATAGTGTCTATTTTTAAACCTGGTGATAATCAGTGACTGATATCCTTTCACAGTCTGCAAATTTATATTCAGATTATTCGTAGCCTGGACAGCATGGAAAGCAGCATGTCTAGTAATGCAAGTCTGAAATCAACCCAATATCCTACTCAGAAGTGAATACAGCTGTCATAAGTTTACACACACCTTGCAGAATCGGCGAAATATCAATAGTTTTAATAAAAGTGATTTTTATGATCCCTGTTATTTTGTTAAAATGATAATTTTGCACATTCTGCAAGGTGTGTGTAAACGTATGACCACAACTGCACACACTAGGGCTTGAAAACAGTGTACAAACATTTATGATGTAAAAATAAGCTTACAGCATGTCAAGCACCAGCATGACATTTGATTCACTATAATCCACCGAGAAGCAAAAGGGTCCTTTGAATTTCTGTGCTGGAACTACTGTCATAACTTATAAGCTTTCGAAACCTCGCTTATAATCAGACCTAACAATCTTCCACATTGCCACTGCTGCAAAAAGCATCAGTGTGAACTCCTGCATGCATAAAAATATGATAAAGCCTATTTGAAATTTTCAAGAATGCATACAGATTGCACTCCAGTCTGTATCTAAACAGCACAAATCAGTCCAATCACAGGAAACGGTAACACCTCTATTTTCATTCAGTTGCTGTTTATTAAAATGTCAGGGGTGCTGACACAGTTGCGCTTGTCTTTGAATTAAAGTTCCCAAGATACTCTCATATACCAAAACTACCAAAAATAGCAGTTGTTGGAAAACCTAACCTTGCCTAGTGTACCTCTTGTACAAGCTTCTAAGAGTTGATCCGCATAAATAACTATTCGGACACTCCCATTCCTAGATTACGGCTTCTGCTGGAGACCCTGGTGGTGTCCAGATATTATGCAACATATTCTGTTCTTCAAATAACTTTTTTATACACATCAATTTAGCCATTATATGTCCATTATGTGATGCAAAACAGATTTCATAGTTATATGTGATGATAAAAACAAATCTTTTTTTTGTGTCAGGTGGTGCATGGACACTCACCAGGCACAACAACTTTGGGCATGTTGGCTGTTGGCTCTGACACTATCACTCTTTCAGTAGAAAGCTGGCTGGTCCTACACTGCTCCTCGGTAGCGGGGAAGTGTGCGGTTGGACACTGCACCAGGGCAATTATTAAGCAGCGGTTGCCCACTGTAATCAAAGCCGTGTACTGGATACAAGGGGCTTGATACTCCAGGTTCTGTGTGTTCAACTCTATTTTAAGTTTTAACAAACAAGACAGATTCAAGTGACAAGCTCACACATGGGAAAGAGGGATATTATGTAAGTGTATACACACACACATCCATGGATATGTAGGAGAAATAGACACAATATGCTCAGTTTTCAATTAATTTACTGGTAAAACTTCTTGTAATATGATAGGCACATTAAACATATGGTACACATTAATATCCCCCCCCAAAAAAGACATGAAATGTTCATTTTCACAATTTTCTGATTAAAGAAGGTCTGTGATACTAACAAATTGTGCTAAAATGGCAAAATACATCATAAATCAAGTTTTCATATAGCTGAAAAAGAAAGGATTGTTAATGTATTGGCAAACATAGTTTGTATTTTCTAGAAAACATCCTGCCTCCGTTAAAGCGAAGATAGAAGGCCAAACACAAACACAGTATGATTAATGGGAACATGTTTCAGATTTCACTGTTAATGAAATCAGGCACAGGTTCAGATATAAATAACATGATAGTCAACACGAATAATCGTTTTAACTTCTTGATAAACCTTCACTGGCTTTCAAGAAGAGACTTCAGGCATGAAAATAAACATTGCAACAAAGTTCACTATGGTCTGTTACAATCCCAACTAAATCCATTTTTACAGCTTTGATTGGAAGATTTAAGACATTTAACATGAGCTAAAAGATGTCATGCTCTATATGACGCAGAAGGTGGCACACAGATTTGGCATGTACACCAGCAGCACCATGATTCAAAAGGCCCTTTAAGTAAGATCCAACACATCCCATCCGATTGACTTTTCTGTATCTAAAATCATTCTAATCATTATGTATTATATGTCAAAATATACAATTAACATCTGAGAGCAAAGAGGATCAAAGAAACTCTACAGTAAACAGAACTACAGTATATGAGACAAACAGTAAACATAAATGCTAAAATGCTCTTTGGCTACAACAAAAAAGAAAAAAGAAAAGAGAGGCAAAAGGTAAAGAAATCAACAGAAATAATCCCACGCATTTCTGAAGCACTTCTGCGTTCACAGTATTCCTGAGCATTGAATCTGCGGTTAAAGATTAATGGGCATTTCATGTTCTGTCTTCTGAGGCCTTTACAACATCAGGTCTGAGATTTTAAAAGAGAAACTGAAGATGACAGCTTTTATATTAAGATAAATGGTGATAGTCTTATATTACAATAATCCCAATTTAAATACCACTAAGAAAAAAAACAATTCCTTCTCTTCCCTGAAATATGTACTTCTTGTAATGAAAACATTCTTGAGTGAATCTAAAAAAAAAAAACTGCTAAGAAAGGGTCCAGGTTTCACCCTAAAAATCGAAATAACTGATGCGAACTTATATTTTGGGTAAACGATATTAATACTATTTTTAGGACTATTACGAGTTTTTGCATTGTGACATTTTTGTCATATATTTATTGACAATTTTATTGACATCTCCCCCCTAATTCTCATTACTGTAATGAAAAAAAGACTAAAGTATTTATGCATCGTACTAGTAGGTGTTAGACTGCCTTTAGGCCTATTAAAAGAAAACATCATATTACAGTAAAATATATTGCATCACAACAATGGGAATCACCAATGAGAATAATAGTAATTGCATGTAAAAATTTGGATGCATTATGATGAGAATTTGAGGGGGGAAAGTGATAAATGTCCATGAAAATGTTAAAATGTGAAAAAAGCTTCAAAATATAATTTCCTAATCATTCTTTAAACTTTGTGGTTAAATGTGTTGTGTTCATAACAGGTCAGAAGTCAAGAAAGAAGAACTCAATGCCCGTTTAGGTTTTTCTTCTCAAGGAAGAGGCAAAACCCAAGTACTAAATGAGACAAATGAGCCTCGGTTAAGACACGTAAATGTCCAATGGCCTCATTTATCTATTACAGCAGGCCAACAGGAAAGATGACCAGTTGTGCATGAATCCCTTTCAGCCAGCAGAGGGCAAACTCTGCGCACACACACACACACACACACACACACAGTGCTGTATTGAGCTCCTTCTAGAATTGTCAACAAACTGCTAAAAAAAAACTAAAAAACTACAACAAAGGGGGAGGCAGTGCAGTCACATGACTTCACAGGACACACCCAGACAGCCCTGCTTCCTGTCTTCTCTACTGTTGAGCTTTTTCATGCGATAATGTCGGATCTCACGGACAAGGGTGTAAAAAGCATCCTCAACTCCCTGAAAAACAAAGAAAAGAGACAAAGGATGTTTCATTAGCATAACATATGCTATGTGTGAAGATTTAGGTTTAGCTTCAGTATTACAGTAAAAGCAGTCATCTGACAAAGAAGTGAACTATGCTAATACACAAACGATTGCTTTTATGAAAAGCAAAGATTTGATGATCAGTCTTTGCCCACCTGTCTGGTCTTGGCAGAAGTTTCTACAAACTCTATGCCGTAGCTTCTGGCAAGTTCCTGAGCTTGCTTGGTGTCCACCGTTCTGGCCAAATCACACTTGTTCCCCACTAGGACCATGGGAACATCATCGGAGTCCTTCACGCGCTTGATCTGTTCTCTAAAAAGCACACTACCATATTATAGACTTTGGAAAACATTACAAATGCTCATTCATATTTATAATAGAATTTATGACATTGTTGACATGTCTTAAACATTCTCCACTCGTATTACCACTGCTTAAAATCCAGAGGATTCAAAAATATAACTGAAACCCCTTTCTTTGGCTTACGGACCTGTACAAATGCACATCGGCGAAGGATTTGCTGTTGTTTATGGCAAAGACACAGAGGAAACCCTCTCCTGTCCTCATGTACTGGTCCCTCATTGCGCTGTACTCTTCCTGACCTGCAGTGTCCAGGATATCCAGCAGACAAGTCTCACCGTCAATCACCACCTGCTTCCTGTAAGAGTCCTGAAGACACGGACATGATCAGTAGGGCTGGGTAAAAAAATCGATATCTCGATATTAATCGATATTCATCTTTACGAATCTATATCGATTCTTAAATCCCAAGAATGGATTAGTCCTGTTCTCAGTTAATGGATGGAACATTGAAGGGCACCTCCCACCCAATCGCAATAAGCATTGTGCTTTGGTACTTTTAATATGAAACAAAGGGTTACACTTTACTTGAAGGGGTGTGCATAAGACTGACATGACACCTTCATAATCATGACATGACACATGTCATGAATATGAAGGAGGTTTTATGCATGTTTATGACAACTGTCATTAAGTGTCATTCACTCAGTTATGTATTTTTTAATGCAAAGATGACATTGTTTGAGATGTCTTTATAAGGGTAAGCGTAGGGGTAGGGTTAGGTCAAATAATGTCATATTTGATTTAAAAATGACAACTGAGCGAATGACACTTAATGACAGTTGTCATAAACATGCATAAAACCTCCTTCATATTCATGACATGTGTCATGTCATGATTATGAAGGTGCCATGTCAGTCTTATGCACACCCCTTCAGGTAAAGTGTTACCAAACAAAGTCTCAGATTTCAAATTCTGTCCTTGTATTGCAGTATTCAAACAACAAATGCCGTTTTGGCGCTGTTTGATGTGGAGTGACAGATCGCTGTGCCTCGATCAACAGACGCGGCAGCGCGAGGCGCACGTGAACTGATCTCCTCCAAATTAACATGACTAAACATCCGAAGGCAAGTTAAAAGAAATAGTACAACTTTACAATCCGTATCCTGTCTCATGTAATCGCTCAGTGTTTCAGCCACGCAAAGACGTCAATATAACGTAGTGCTGGGCGGTATGACCAAAAATTTGTTTCACGGTATTTTTCAAAATTATACAGGTTTCACAGTTCATGACGGTATTTTTTTTTTTTCATGCATGACCGGGTGTTAACCCGGACCCGTTTCAAACAGTGTCACGTTCCGAACGTTGTTTAGGCGACATACACCGGTATTGCGGTATTTTAAAAATTCATATCATAACAAAAATAAACATCGGTATTCGGTATGAACCGGTATACCGCCCAGCACTAATATAACAGCTTGTCAACAATGTCACGTAACGTCACATTTACCTCAGAAAAAAACATTGGTGGCCATAAACTCATTAGTCAGCTAGAAAATTAAAGTGTAGAGGGGCATTTTGCTAAATATATGCACCATATAAATTTATTATATATTTTTTAATTTTCTTCAATGTTTAAGTTATATTTTTTTATGACAGCCACCATTTAAATGTAAAAAAACCCAGTTGAAGTAGACATATTATGTAATTGTAACTTTTATTATGAAAACATGAGAAATGTTTCTTGAGCAGCAAATCAGCATATTAGAATGATTGCAATATTATTGTTTTTACTGTGTTTTTCATCAAATAAATGCAGCATTGCTGAACATAGGAGACTTATTTTTACAATATTTTAATCTTACTGATCCCAAAATTTTGAATGGTAGTGCAAGTCCAGTTGTAACTTAAGGAAAGATGAGGTCAGAAGGTCATTAAGTACCTCAATAGTAGGGTCATATTCATCCACAAAGTGATTCTGAATGAGCTGGATGGTTAAAGCACTCTTCCCAACACCACCTGCTCCCACAACAACCAACTTATACTCGGTCATCTTACAGTCCTGAGAGACCACCTGTGATGGAGACAGAGAGAATTATATTAATAACACTTTAGAACTCATAAACAGATTGACATACAAATAAATACTTCAAAACATCTGTGTAAATATCACTAATAACACATTTTCTGTGTTTGTAAACTGGTTTATTACTGCGTTGGCAATGTAATAATTTTTGCTTAAATCTAGAGAGAGAGAGATAATCAGAGTAATAAAAAACACTTCTGTTCAAAAGTTTGGGGTTGGTTTTTGAAAGAAGTCTCTTAACACTAGCTATGTTTCCATCCAAAGATGCGAATTTAGCTTATGCGCAAAACTGGAATATCGCATAAAACATTTGCGAATAGACTTGTGCCGGTATTCGGTAATGCGATATATCACGGTAATGAATATTAAATTACTTGCGCTTCAAGGCTTGTTCACACCGGGACGAATATCGCGCACGATTATTGCCGACGTTTAACGCCTCGTGACTAAACAAAGGGCACCAATGTGAGTGTGCACACCGACGCGCAAAACGCGAGGCGTAAAAGCGTCATTTTTTTTCAAAACGCCTCGAGGCCATCTAATGTCAGGGAGTGAATTTGCACTTTCACTCGGCTCATCGCCTGCGAAAATCGCTTGGGTATGAACACAAACGACGCGTCGAAAAACGTCGTCGAAAAACATCGGCGATAAGCGCACGCGATAATCATCCCGGTGTGTACGAGGCTTCAGAGAGAGCAGACGTAACACAATAAATGCGGTCATTGCTTTTAGAGGTGGATGCCTGCTGTTTGGGAACGCAGTCACGTAAGACAATAATTATACAGAAATACTTTGATGACAGACTTTCCTCAGGCATTTCAGAACGACCAAAACAACATATAGATGCTGTGAACAAGATCGGTCCGCTGGTTAGTCAAGTTATCCCGTCGCGTAGCGCAAAGTCACATGACTTTTTCGA